TGCGTGTTCGCATATCTTATCAACTGTGGTTTTTGACCAGTATTTATCAATCTCCATGGATCGTAAGTTATGATCTATGTAGATGTAGATCTATGTACATACACATATATGGGTCAGGAATATAAAGCTAAATACATGTGTGTCAGTAATAGATATGAGAAAACTATAACCTGCATTTAAGACATAGTCATCCTGTTTCAGCGTGCGCTAAGGATACTGGGGATCGCCGTCTGCCGAAGGTAAGGTATTAATAACTGTTAGGATTACAGTTGCTAACGAAGGATACTTAGATATGATTCGATCGGCGAGGTGCCAGGTAGTCTAAGGTTGTGGAACCACAGAATAGTCGAAAGACATGAAGTCAAGAAGTCGAGTTGCCGAGCAGGCAATGAAGAATGATAACTCAGGGTGAACAGAAGTACGAAGAATGTAACAAATGACGAAAGACTGAGAATATCGGACTGTGAGAATATAAGATTATAACATTATATAAATCTAGATTGCAAGATCAAAGATCAAAAGAATGAAAGATTGAGAAGCTGGAGAGCTACTATGTGGCAGCTCCAGCTTCCTTAAGTCTAACTCGAGATAGTACTTGAACTCAACTAAGACTATGACAAATGACAAATGCCGTCATGATGCCAGCCTCTCCATCTCTAACTGTTGGAGTTATCTCGGAAACCTTCTCAGTAAACCTTTTCCCAAAACCTTTCTTATAACCTTCTCATATCACCTTTTCCTCAGAACCTTCTCCTTGAAACCTCTTCAAGGATGCCTGGCCATAACATATCCGCTGGAATTCTAGTGTGAAATAAACGCTAATGTGCATTAAACATTCGGTGAATGATGTATTGATAACAGTGATATAGAATGGGGAATTTGATAGTCAAATTAGCCGGACTTACTAATTAGTTATTCTTAGCATTCCAAGATATATCATATTTCAACACACATGGCTACTAAAATGTCGGGGCATCACACTACCCCCCTTTTCTAAAGAACGCTGACCGCAGAGTTCTGTCCATAGCCGAATTATCTTCAAGATAATCATAATCCTCTATTCCTTTTTCCCACGTATCAATCCACCTCGGAAGTGCTACAGGTGGGCCTGGCATGGCGGGGTTTTCGAGATGAAACCGCTTAATTAAGTGTGGGGCGTAAATGAAATTAGAAGCAGGGTAATATTCCGGGTCTCTATCAGCCCCCAGCCAGTTCCCTCTGTAATACAATTTTTTGTACTTTAATTTACAGGTGCGGATAGATTCAACAACCCATTCTTTATGACCTGGAATTATTTCTAGGGCTTCGGGCGGCGGATTTATCTGTCCTGGTACTGGGCTAGCAGGGTCTTTTCGAAGGAGCTTGGTGTGGAAAACACGATGAATTTCTCCCATCGACGCCGGTAAGTCTAATTTGTATGACCATCGTTTCTTGTTTACTATTTTGAATGGTCCTATGTTTTGATGACAAAGTTTTTTACTAGGTCAGTCTAGAGACAAATTTTTTGTAGACAACCTAACTTTACCACCAACTTGAAAATCTGGTTCACAACAATGAATGTTGACGTCTTTTTGTTTCTTCTGCTGGGCACTCTCCATATGATGACAAACCTATTCCCATGCTTCTTGCATTTGACAATTTCGTTTTTTTGCTTCTTCTTGGGCAATAGCTTGACGAAAATTTTCTGGCCTTTGAGGAGCTTTCCAGTCAAAAGATAGGCGAGGTGGATGGCCATGAAGGAGCTAGAATGGAGAGGTATTGATACTATCATGATGTAATGCAAGTTGTGCAAAGTCCATCAGTGGGAGTAGCCGAGACCAGTTATTTTGAAAGTGATTCACAAAAGGACGGAGTCTCAGGTCTAAATATTGATTCATTGTTTCGGTCTGCCCGTCGGTTTCTGGATAGTAGGCTGTCGAAAGTTTTCTTTTAACTTCAGGGAGTAAGCAGAGCGTACCAAAAAATTCTGAGATAAACTACAGACCGCCGTCAGACACAATTGATTTGGGCACTCCCAGGTGTCGAAAGCAATAGACATAGTACATTTCTGCGAGATCTTTTGCATTCACAGATTTTTTACAAGGAATGGTGACTGCTTTTTTACTTAGAGAATCAATCAACACAGCCACCATATTATGCCCCTCATCACTTTCCGGCATATCTTTAAAATCGGCATAAATGTGTTGCCAGGGGTGGTTTGGAACTGGCAGCAAATGAAGCCATCCAGGAGCTTTATCGTGGTTCAAGTGCGATCTCCTACAGGGGTGGCAATTTGCAATGAACTGTTTGATAAAGCTTTTCATATCTTTCCAATAGTAACGCTCTGCTAACAACTTATAGGTTTTCTTGGTTCCCGGATGTGCTGTTGAAGGTTGATTTTGTGCTTCACGCACGAGTTCTGTTCTAATATTATCCGCATCTGGAACCACTAGCCGGCCATCAAATAGAAAAAGATTTTCTTCCAGCTTATAATGTTCCTCCTCTCCGGTTTTAGCAAGATCATGAAGTTTAATCAGTGATGGATGAGACTTGTTTACATTCAGGAGGCTATTGGCAAGCTCAAACGTCTCGACAAAGGAGATATCAAGAGCTAATTCTGTGGGGGGGTCTTCAACACTATTTTTGGTTAATAGGGCTTTATTCCATATTGCTGATTTCATTGAAGCTTGTTGTTTTATGTCTTGTTCACGATGAGACAGTGCATCAGCAGCGGCATTTGCTTTGCCTGCACAGTATCTTATTAAGAAGTTGAATTCAGATAGTGCTTCGGCCCATTGTGCTTGACGAGCATTCAAGGATTTGGATGTCATGAAAAATTCAAAAGCTTTATGGTCAGTGAAGATTTCGATTCGCTTTGGTGTGCCTTGTAGTTCTGCGCGCCAGTGGGCAAGAGAGCGCACTATTGCTAGCATTTCCTTGTCATGGATCTGGTAATTCAATTCAGCTGGGGCCATTGGTTTCGAGAAGAAAGCCACAGGATGCCAATCATTGTCATCAGATAATTGGAAAAAAGCACCAGCAATAACACCATCAGATGCGTCAGTTTCAATCCTGGATTCTTTGCTCGGGTCATATTGTGATAGAACGGAGGCGTTAATCATATGATTTTATAGTTCTTGAAAGGCAGCTCTGCATTCCTCTGAAAACCAAAACTCGGCGTCTTTATGAATGATACGAGTTAAGGGTTTAGCAATTACTCCATAATTTCGGATGAACTGTCAGTAAAAGTTGCAAAATCCGAGGAAAGATTGTACTCCTTTGATGTTAGTTGGTTGCTTCCAATTCTTAATGACAGAAATCTTATCAGGATCAATGCGAATTCCGTCAGTACCAACAATAAACCCCAGATATTTTGTCTTTTTTACGCCAAACTCGCACTTTTTAATATCCACCTGAAGCCTGGCATCCCTCAAGCGTTGTAGGACAAGCTTGACTTGAGTCTCGTGCTCGGAAAGATTATCAGAGTAAATTAAGATATTTTCTAGGTAAACTGTACAGAAGATTTCCAAATAATCAAATAGAGTGTTGTTGTCAGTTCATGGAGCTCCACTAAAATAGATTTTGTTGAAATTGGTGCTTCCAATTATGGTAAAGACAGGGATGTGTAGAAGACACGTCACTAATCTCCCATTAATTGTGAGGTTAGTATTTATGCGCTTTGATGTAAATACCAACCACTAGATTTTATTATTACAAAATATAGTTTATATAGCACTCTGTGTCCTAGTGGGAGTAATTAACAACTCTCCACAACAGATTTACAGACTCCTTTACTTTCCCACTCGCTTCACAAAGTGATACAATCTGTGCCTAACAGCCACAAGCTTTTGCAAACCAATCTGCTCAATACATTTGTCATCATGGGGTATCACATGACGAACTCGCTATGAACACGCTAGCTAGGTCCCACTTTGGTTATGAGTTGGGACTCTCTTTCCCTGACGAGACAGATAGACAGACATAATACTATTAACTCTTTCTAAATCTTTACAATTGATTGTGAAACCACACCGTGGTAATTCCAACACTGATCAGTGATTGTAATCAACACAATCACAGACAGCTAGGCTTAACCACAAAGAGACACTCGACCCTGCTTCTCCACCCGAGCTTGGAGCTATGAAGCATCGAAGAGCTGTGCTAAAATACCTTGCTAGGAGATTGAATCTCGAGTCTTCAGAAGAAGATCATCCGTCGCCTGCAAAGAGCGTCATCTACGCAGAACAATCAAGTGCTATCTCGATCTCTGTATAGAGTGTAGCCGAGATCATTGCACATAACCATACAACACAGCAATTTTTTCCCCCCTGCTACATTATAACCAGCAACTTTAGTTCGAATCCTACTCAGACCTTCAAAATGTCACAACAAGGTTTTTCAGAAACTTCGCAGCCAGAAATAGCATTGTCTGAGAAATTTAAGAGCGCCAATGTATTTCAGGAGACACGAGGAAGCATAAAAGATGAGGAAGACAATATAATGCCAAGAGAAACATTACCCCAGGTGCTAGAAACCCATGAGTTACAGCCTCGAATTTTGACTCGAGCAATTGACGCTCAGTACTGGGGCCAGTCAATCACAGATGTAAATAACACAAATGCAAAGCAGCTCACAACGTTCGCAGTAGAGTGTGCTATCAGGTACAAGACATCCATAACTGTTGATGATGAACTTATAGGTTCTTTCTGTGACAATTTCGATGGCTGGAGCTTTGAAATGTTCGACAAGATTCATCGAGATGTGAAACGTATGATGAGAATACTGCTACAAAGAGGAGGCATCAATACAGGCAGCATCAGAGCCGGTATTGCACGCCAGCTAGCTGCAGTCCTTCAATTTGAAGAGCTACCTGAATGGAATGACAATGACCTTATGACAACTGACCTTCTATCAAAGTCACATTTCTATCAGAAAAAGTTACGGCTGCTCAATAGCACTGATACTCAAGCCGTACAACCTCAGCCAACAACAACCCGCACGCAACCAGATACCATACGCCACCCCTAAGAGTTTCATACCAAACTCCAGCCACTCAAAATGTAGTTTATGAACAAACTGAGCTAAGTTACATATCAGCTCGTGAAATTCATCAACCTCAACCTCAGCCACAGCCAAGACTTAATCCATCCCGTGCCAGCTCAGCAAACTCTCCTGCTCTGTTCTATGAACAGTCACCGGACTTTCAAACCTTCCAGCATGACCCCTATGCTGACCTCTCTCCTCGCAATGTGCCAAACGAAAGACTGGAACCATCAGCAGTCATCAATTTTGCTAAGCAATGGAACAAGAAGAATAATTTCCATGGCTTGATGTATGAAGTATTCAATGATAAGGTCAACCAATTCCTAAGAGCATGTGAATTGCTCGAGATCCGTCCATTGTAGTTTCATGCAGTTTTTCGACCAAATGCTTGAGGACCGAGCGTTGCTGTACTACAATTGCACAGTGAGCCGGCGAGACTCGTTTGCCGACGCCTATATCAAGATAAAAGTGCATTTCAACACGGACGCAAATCGCCAGGTCTACCTCCAAGAATGGCAAACAGTAACATTTGCAAGCGTAAAGAATGAAAATCCTGATAAAGGCTTGAGGGAAGTCCTGGATATATTGTTTGATAAGCTTAGTATTTGCCAGAGGGCAATTGGCAATTCATATGAAGGTGACAACAAGCTCCGTGACCAGCTTTTGCGCGCTTGTAGACAATCCACCGAACTTGCACCAGCCATTGACAAGCCGGCGGGTGACCCCAAAGAACTGATAGCAAACCTAAGATCAACAATTATAAATCATACACTTGCATCACAATTTGTTGCAGAGAGATCCTCTGCGCCGTCATCAGAGCAGTATTATCTCGAAAGACGTTACAACAACTCTCGCCCTTGAGACAAGAACCAGAGTTATGGTAATACCCGATTCAACTTCCAAAAGAAAGGTAAAAATTGGAAGAAGTGCTATATCTACAGGAAAGAAGGATGTTGGTCAACAAAGTATACCAATGACAAACAGCGTCGAATGAGAAACCAATTCATAACGCAATGTGAAGTTGACAGCATCATTCCTACTACGCAAAGTATGGCAGTTTTTCTTGTTGAGCTTGAGGGTCAGGAGCCGACTGGTCAATATTTCACGGAAGGCATATTGATAAGTGATCATAGCGAAGCTGACAACGATGAGGGCTTTGAGGCACACATGCAAGAAACGCAAAATGCAACTTACCTGACCAACCAAGCGTTCATACACCATGTGACTGGTCAGGATGTATATGACATAAGACACAACAACCCACCTTCACAGTTTCTCATTGAAGATTGCTACTCAAGAGTCACATTCCAAGGAATTCTGCCAGATACTGGAGCAGCCAATATGTCAACTGTGGGTAGAGAGCAGTTATTAGCTTTACAACAAGAGGATTCAAAAGTAGTGTTTGACACAAGTTCAGCGAGCCAAGCAAACATCCATTTTGGCAAGGGTAAGCCAATTCATTCAATTGGCTCAACGATTCTTGACACTCCGGTTGGTAAGATCACGTTTCATGTGCTGAACACACCCATGCTGTTCCTTCTTTCTCTTGGGGATATGGACCATCTCAAATTGTATCTCGACAACACACGAAATGAGATTGTTCAGAGAACAAGCAAAGGTCTGAACAGAGTGCCTGTTGTAAGAAAATGGGGGCATGCATGGTTCTTTCTGAACAAAATTGAAAATGCAACACTGTTCTTAACGGAGACCGAGCTTCGCCAATTACATCGTCGATTTGGCCACCCTGCTGTAGAGAGGTTGCACCATATGCTGGTGAAAGCCGGTCATATGGAGGAAACCAATTGCCAGGTACTCGGAAAGATCAAACACTTCTGCCATCATTGCCAGATGAACAAAAGTGCTCCCCATAAGTTCAAATTCTCCCTGAAAGACAATGCAAACTTTAACTATGAGATCATTATCAATGTGATGAGCCTGAATGGAAAGCCTGTACTCCATGTCGTTGACGCAGCTACATCTTTTCAAGGTGCAAGATTCCTCCCTTCCATGTCAGCCAAAGACAGATGGAAAACCCTGAAGGCAATCTGGATCGACACTTACCAGGGACCGCCAGACATCATCACGCACAATGCAGGTACAAACTTTGCTTCTGCGGAGTTCAAAGCAGAGGCCAAGTTGATGGGAGTGACGTGTAAGCAGGTGCCAGTTGAAGCACACCAGTCAATTGGTAAGATCGAAAGGTACCACGTGCCACTACGCCGTGCATTCAATATCTTATCTGCCGAGCTTCCAAGTACAAGACCAGAATTGACATTGCAAATGGCAGTCAAGGCCGTTAATAATACCATCGGGCCTGATGGTCTCGTTCCAACACTGCTGGTATTCGGAGCGAACCCGCGCATCAATCAAGCCTCGCCGCCATCACCCTCCATATTAAAGAGAGCTGATGCAATCCAGAAGGCAATGAAAGAGCTCCGCCAAGTACATGATAAGAGATACGTCAATGATACACTCAACGCACGAAATGGCCCTGACACAGCCAACATCATCAGCCTCCTGCTACAAAGCGAAGTGCGTGTGTGGCGCAAGAAGCATGGCTGGCAGGGCCCCTATAAGATTATTTCAATCAATGGTCCAGCCACCTTTCGCTCCACCTTAATTCGACTGTACTACCGCAATGAGAGCGGCAATGTGCAGGTTTCAAGTTCAAAACCGCTGCTGAAGGATGATTCTCAACTGGGCTCGGAGGCCACAGAATTACCTCCGCGTATTGAGGCGCCAATGTCGCGCCGACGCGGAAGACCAACGGGCAGTAAGAACAAGCCAAAGCCTCTCCCAGTACCCGAAAAGGCAACAGTATTTATCACGCGTAAGGAGGAGGATGATTTTAAGTTGGCTCTCAAACTGCGCGCCGAAAGGACTATCAATACGCCAGGAGAACCATTTGAGGAATCAGACGCTAAGGAGATAAATAATCTTGCTACGCGAGGTGTTTTCAATTTTGAGATGTACAATGGGACTAAACATGGTGGCCATTATATATTTGGCTCACATATGGTGCGTGAAGTCAAATCTAAGACTGATAAACCTTATGAGAAATCGCGGCTCGTTATTGCAGGCCATAGTGATGATGAGAAACGCATGTTGCTCACTCAGTCACCAACTATCCAGCGCATGAGCCAGTGCTTGATCCTCTCACTAGCGCCATCTCTCATCAGTAAGTATTGCATGTCTCTAACTTTGCGTGATATCACACAAGCATACACACACGCAGAGTCTAAACTGGATCGCCTTGTGTTTGCCAAGTTACCTCTTGAGCTGAAAAGTAGGTATCCTGAGGGGACAATTATGCATGTTATTCAACCACTATATGGCATTGCTGAAGCAGGAGTAAATTGGTGGACGAGTTACCAAAATCACCACCAGAACCTGTTGAAAATGACAAATTCGTCATTTGACCCCTGCCTATTGATCACAAAAACAGGAGCTGAAGGATTTGGCATCATTGGGATGCAGACAGATGACACCCTCATCTTATCAACAGAAGTATTCTCTGAACTCGAGGAACAGAAGCTTCAAGAAGCCAAGTTCAGAGCGAAGCCTAAAGTCAAGCTCATCAAAGGTACCCATTTCGACTTCAATAGAGCCCAATTTGTGAGCAATGATGTCAATATTCAACTGCTACAAAAGGGTCAATGTATGAATCTTCGAACCATCAACAGTAAAGATACCAATCACGCCCAGCGGTATATATAGCAGCGTGCTCAAGGTGCCTACATCGCTTCCATCTGTCAACCCGAAGCTTCATTTGATATGTCAACAGCAGCGCAGACCCAACAGCCTGATGAGGTAGAATGCGACAAATTGAATCGCCGAATCAAATGGCAAATAACCAACATCGAGCGCGGGTTGAAATAAGTACCACTTGACCTCTCGACAGCGAAGATTATGGTGTTCACTGATGGCTCATTTGCTGACAACAAGGACATGAGCTCTCAGATCGAGTTCATATTAGCTCTTGTCAATGTTAAAGACCATAACAATATGCAGTTTGACATCCGAGGGAACCTCATCCATTGGAGTTCCACCAAGTGCAAACAAGTGACTCGATCTGTGCTGGCATCAGAGATTTATGGAATGGTGAATGGCTTCAACATCGGCCTATCAATTGCGACCACTTTCCGCATGGTTGCGGAACAGTTGGGGTTGCCATTGTTGTAATCTAACGCTTTTCATCCTCGGACTTCATGGTGAGCAGTAGTTATATAACACGTGATGCCATGCGGGGGAGAAGGAAGAGTATGGCGAAAGCCGCTAGCCAGATCTAAACGATCTGGCCCACTTGTAGATGGAGAAATCCTTTTATGTACATAGACAATACATCCCTAACTAGTAAAACAACAATAGTAAGGAACTCATACATCCGCACCTCAGTTATCTCATACATCGTGACCCATAAACCTCACTCTCATATCTATCACTCCACGACAAAGCTTCAACAGCCATTGCTACCATTAATGATATGCACTGACTCTTGCTCGTTGTACAAGTGCCTCGTCAAATTGGGCACCACCAAAGAGAAGCGTCTAATGATTGATATCATGGCACTTCGTGAGTCATATCAGCATAGAGAGATCACGGAGATTTGTTGGATCAACGGCGAGGACAATCCTGCAGACGCCATGATAAAAGCTTCGCTAAACAAGGCATTACAACACTTCATTGACTCCAATGAGCTATCAATACGTGTGCAAGGTTTCGTGCAGAGATGATGTGAAGGATGAGGGGCAATACTGTTACGTTTCATTTGTACTTTATTTTGTTACCATACTCATGAAAAGCTTTCTTTTGTAATAGAGGAGGACCAGAAGAGAGATCTCAAAGCGTCAGCAAAACAGAAAAGCTGCCAGTGTCGGTTCATAGAGCTCCACTAAAATAGATTTGTCATCATGGGGTATCACATGACGAGCTCGCTATGAACACGCTAGCTAGGTCTCACTTTGGTTATGAGTTGGGACTCTCTTTCTGTGACGGTCTTAAAGTGGCGTTTTATTCAAACTGAACTCAGAGCTAGATACAAATGAAAATCTTAAAGTAACAAGCAGAGACATGACTGAAAGCCTCCTATTTATTTACAAGACTATGATCTCGTTCCCTCATTTCATACCATTCTCAAAATAGATCATGACCTGTCCTCCGACAAACACCAGCATCTCCGTCTATTTTAATTCAGCTTCAGACTGGTGTTCGAGCCGTCCTGTCTGCAATCTAAATTTGTCATTTAAGAATAGATTTGCATGAACTGGGCCAAGGCCTATACTTGGGTCTAATGAGTCGTGGAGGGGATCATGACATGTATGATGTTTAATATGGTTGGAAGAATTCAAGCCTTATTTGGTAG